AATAATAATAATAATAATAATAATAATAATAATAATAATAATAATAAGCAAAAAGTGATTAGAAAAGACGATAGGAAAACATTTAGATCTTAAACCTGAACTGTTTTCATTAGGCATAACATCGGAAAAACTTGATAAGCCAAGTATATATTTAATAGTGCATGTCTTAAGAGCAACGAGGATTATATTTGCACAATATTGGAAAAATGAAGAAACACCGCAAGACGAAGAGATGATTAGGAAGAAACTAGATTGTGCAGAAAGGGACAGACTTACGCTGCAGATTAAACAGAAAGACGGCACAGAATATTATCAAACATGGACTTTATTTTATCAATGATTGGAAAAAAGAGGTGGAGATTAAGAATGTAATCTGTATTCTTAAAAAAATTAAATAACACATATAACACAATGTTTATTAAGCACTAACAAAATGTAAACAACAGAAAATCAATAAAATCTTTTTAAAAAAGAAAGTACCTCTAATTTCCAGCCCCAAGTGAACTGTGGACAATGGTACCAAGAGCCACTGAAAAATCAGGAGGGATATACCAGCCACATCTAAGTTATGTCTTTAGTAATTTAAGAGAATACCAGTGCAATCTCTGTCCTCATTCTAAATATTGTTCAATCTTCAGGACCTATTGTCAGATGACAATGAGACATTCTCTAAACAACTTGAAATGTTGTTGTTGCCTGGGGAATTCATACAGAGCTAATGGTCTAGTATTAAATACTTGGTCTTCTGATTGGTATATTTTGGGGGGTTTGTCCCCTATTAACCTGAACTATTGTGACTGAAATTTAAATGCAAATAATATATCACTGAATCAACATTAGCTGTACCATAGCAAAAAACCCTGTTTGGTATCTCTGTTTGGTATCAACATTGTTCATGTTATGAGTAACAATCAATCTTTCATTTCAGAGAATTCCTCCTACTGAATTTCAAATGATCCATTAGAGTAAAAAAAAACTTTATTCTTCAATTTTTGGCTTTGAGTTCTGAACTCTTCAGGGTAAAATTTGAGTCCCTAACATCCTATTGCATTATTCAAAAGGAAGACTTTTTGATACCATTGCAAAGAAAAGAGGAGAATCTTATTAGTATGTTGTATACAAATATTTATTCTTGCCTTTTTCACACATTCTTATAATCCCAAATGCTTCCTATCAGTTTTTAGTAATTTCAGTGCCAACTTTTTCTTTGACTATATCTCTTTTTATCCATACACTTGCTTAATGTTACAATGTTTAATTCCCACCACATTTTTATTTAAAATCTTACCTGTATACTAGTGAAATGAGATTACAAACTTCTACTGATCCAGTTGAAGGATATCGATGCCTACATTAGAAAATGAAAGCATCTGTCAGTGACAACAGAGAAATGAAGTTATATTTGCAGAAACTGTGGTCATTAGTAGAAAAAAAGGAACTTTTTACCAGTAGAACAAGAATAATTTGAAATATCTGGTATGCTCTGGAGGAAGTTTTAAACGATGCCGCAAAACTCCTCAATTGCACAATTTACAGCCCTTTATTTATTCTTTATTTAGCTGGGGGTGCAAATCACCCCAACTTGGGTGAGAATAAAAGCATTCTCTGGTTGACCTACAATTGGGAGGGGTGTGTCCACACAAGTTGTTTAAAAAATTCAAACTGTGGGATACTGTCATTTATTGAAAACCCTCCTTTTTTTTTTTAAAACAAGTTTTATTTTCAAGACAAACAATACATAAATACACATAAACACAAAACATAAAAGCATAAAAAAATCTCTTTTCTGAAAGTTGCTTAGTCCCGGGTTAAAACTCTTGGTACAGACACAAATTCAAATTCATTTTACATACCATTTCATATCTTATTAACATTTTCAATTTTCTATATGACTTCTCCTCTCCTTTAAATTTTCTCAATTTTATTTTATTTTATTTATCTCCTCTCAATTCGTATCATAATATTTATTATTCTTTGTCTGTTCTACTCCAGCCAACCATTTATTTTTCTTCTTTAAAAAAAGAAGAAATACTTCTCCTGTACACTATATGGAGTATGATGCCTTTATCTCTTTCCCTATATTTATAATACTTAATATAAAAAACATGACATACATTGGGATTCTGTCTGGTACATTCTAAAATTATACTATATTATCAAAAATAATACAAATCTATTCATTAGTATTGATATTCATTCATATCTTAAACGTTTAACTCATTGCTTTTCTATTAAATCACATACTTTTATGGGAGCCCTATTTTCCATAATTATTCCCCCCCCCACATCACATATTATAGCTCAATATTTCATTAAAATGTTCCTCCTTCTTCTACTTCAAATCTCATTTCACAAAAAAATTCACTAGTATACCATATTAATATTAACAATCATTTATATCTTAAACATTTTATCCATTTCAATTAAATATCATGCTTTCCAAAGATTCCACACTTATGCTTTCCAAAGATTATTACCCCCCCCCACATCACAATCTTGAATCATGTTTCATTACAGTACTCCCTTTTTCTTAACCAAAAATTTCACTAATTTATGTTAAATATTTTATCACATTTTAAGTTACATATTATTTCTAATTTTCTATGATTACTTCTAAATACAAGTATAAAAATGCACTCTTATGTACCTTTCTAGAATCCCTTTAACAATAAGATTTATCCATTATCTCTAAAATACTTTTGCTTCTTAACATCTTGCTCCCCACCATTAGGACTTCTCATCCCTTCCTTTCTCTCTTGCTTCTTCTTCTCCTTGTCCTCTTTAACCCCTTGTCTCTCCACCTCCCTTTTATTCTGCTTTCCCCCTTTCTGTTGTTTCTTAACATAATGTCCCCCTTTCACCTTATTCTTCTCTTTTTGGGCTGTTTTTCCAGATCTTAAAGACCTTTTTTCCTTTTTCTCTTGCTTTTTCCCTTCTCCAATCAAAGTCATTTGTTCATCAAAGATGGCTTCTTCTTCTTCTTTGTCCCCATCATCCTCATTCTGCTTCACATAAGTATAAACCGCCATTTCTAAGTATTGAAAAATAGTGCCAAGACCATCTTCCCCTCCTTGTTTTTCTCTTTCATATTTTTGATATATAAGTTTCAATCCATCCATAGATGATGCCATTGTGTAGAGAAAAAGTTTTTCCAAACAACCACCCAAATGATTTAATCAGAAGTAATTTCCAAAGGTTCCAAAATCACCAAACAATCCAAACAGACTATTTCTTTTAGATACCTTCTTCTTCTTCACTTTCTCTTTCTGGGGTTAAAGTAATCACAAATCCTTTTCAAATATATTTTTTGGAAGTTTTTTAATGTTTAACAACTCTTTGCAATTCTAAGCAATCTTCTCCTTATTTTCAAATTTTGCTCTAATTTTTTTCACTCTCCCTTCCCACTCACAGCCAAAAAGGTTTTTGTTTTTTTTCCGCTGTCACTTTAGGAAGGAGAGTAGAACAAAGAAAAAACTTTCCCCTTTAGAGTATTCGCAGCTTGTAACTCTCACAAGGAACAATATACTTAGCAGCCTTCAAGATTCCAGGTCACTTTCTCCCGTCTTGTCCCGGTTAGAAGCAACTTTAACTTTTCTTCCAGCTTTTTCCCTCCTGCACCTGCTTATCCGGCTGCAGCTTTCTTCGTGGCGGCCATTGCTGACCGCCGTTCCTCCACCTCGGGAAAAGGGGGTTTAGCCGGCTGGGGAGGGGGTTTGCGGCACCCCCAAACCCCTTGCCGGATCCCCCTGTCTTCAGCTGCCTCTACGGGGCAGCTATATCCCCCAGATCCAAATGGATCGGGGGAACCTTGGCGGCGAACGCAGCAGGGATCACGCGGTCGCGAATCCCTGCCGCCGCCGCAAGCTTGCAAACCGGAAGGGCTAAAACCCTCCTATTTTTTGTTGTTGGTGGTTTGGAGTTTGTTAGTTGGAATGCTGACATAATGTCATAAGAGAGGAGAAAAGTGGGATGAAAAAGATATCAACAGGAATTTTCCAAAGCTTCAAGTTATTCTATGGCCCCAGCACAACATCAATTCTATAGAATGGTAGATAGGTTTGCACAATGCTAGATTAAGCTATTTTAGGATTGGGGAATTCACAGTAGACATGCCCTGGGAACTTAATCATTGTGTTAGTATACTGTGGGAAACTGTCTGTTCTCTTAACCTACAAGATGGATTATTTCTTGAGACATAGCTTGTGATGCAAACATAGCAACAATATTTGCATATGGCAGAACCTCATTCACCTTGGTTGATCTCAGAAAAGTTAATCAGGATCAGACTTTTTTTAGGATGGAAGATCCAAGGGCTCTGGACTAGAATGAGAACTTTAAAAAGCATCCAGAAGTGAGCCATAACAAAACATTTCTATACTGTTCCTAATAAAACTAGATGAGCATAGATATTTTCCCTAATCTATTCATATCCAAGGTTCCAGGTTGTGATGTATTAGATGTAGATGTAAGTTGGTAAGTAGCTTTTGAAGTGATATCCCTGTTAATCCTGTTTTCCCCAAAACCAAGACCTATCCTGAAAATAAGCCCTAGCATAGTTTTTAATGTGTGCACTTGATATAAGCCCTACCCCACAAATAAGCCCTACTTGACAGCCTGCGCAGCTGGCCATCCACCCATTCCGTCTGGTTGCTTGCGGTGCTGCAGCTACAATGAGAGGCAGGGGGTGGAGTTGTCTCCTGTGTCCCCACACCAGCTTAACTCAGGGCCCCCACAGCCAGGCCATCCTTGCCCCAACACCTGCCTTGCCTTGCGGTGGCAGCACCAGTAGCCATGTGCATCAGGAGCAAACATGGTTACCAGCCCACTTATTCTGCTTGCTCACGGCTGCAATCGAACAGGAAGCTGAGCAGTGTGTTGGTCCGATGGCCAACACAGGTGCTGGGGTGTGGATGGCCTGGCTGTGGGGGACCTGAGGTAAGCCAGAGCAGGGCACATTAAGCATTGCCACCACCCCCTGCCTCACAGTGGAGGCACTAAGGTGCTGCATAGACTTCTGTCCCACTGTGAGCAAGCAGAGGCAATGGGCCTCCCAAACATAGGGGAAAAAAGTAAGACCCCCCCCCCAAAATAAGCCCCACTGCATATTTTGGGGCCCAAACGAAAATAAGACCTGACTTATTTTCAGGGAAACAGGGTCTTTTGCAAAGAAAAATAACCCACAGTCTTGTTACGTATTAAAAACTTACTAATTTTATTATCACAGAGATTTTGATGTATGAAGAGTTTTGGACACAGTTGATAATGGATGGAAGACAACAGAAAAGGGAAATGAAGAGATGATCTGAAACAAGAGCATAAAATTACTGTAGAATGGAAAGGCAGACTTACTTAAAGAATGACCATATAGTTGTGATTAAAAGGACATATATTTTAAATGATGACTTTTGCCGTTATCCTCAGAATAGTCAGTGACAAAAAAGAAATGAGGCCACAAAAATACACCAAAAAATGTGGAGAAAACTGGCTCATAAAATCACTGAGAATTGGACATGATTGAACGGATAATGTCATCATCCTCTTTTGTAGTACGAAACACAGCAAAACCTGCTATTGGGCTCATACACACAGGGCAGATTTTTAAAAACTCTTCTTCTCATTTCAGATTCTTCCCTCCTGTTTTTCCTTTGAAAGAAGGTAATTTGATGTTTATATATAAGGTGAATTAGAACAAGAACTTTAAAACACATCTATTGTATAATAGATGTCACAATGTATGTTTCGTTGCTTCCATCCCTTTGTTAGCCCTAAGGGGAGCTATTTCCTTGCAGACAATTTGATATTGGCTTGAGTATTGAAGTGTACGATATTTCAGAATGAAAGATGTGAAACTGGTAGAATGTCAGTATTAAGCAAGCAGGTTGCTTCATGTAGTCTAAATCAGAAATGCATAGAAGAATGTACAACACAGGCAGGTTAGGGTGAATCACTTTTTCTGAGTTTTTAAATAAAATGAGAAGTTGCTGCAGTTTCTAAACTGTTTTAATCCTTTTCCAAGAAGCAAAGAGGAAATCATGGCCACCCACTGAAAGGGCTAAAAGGCTGAAAAACGATGCACTTAGTAATTAATCCTAAATTAAATCAGTGAACTGTGTTACTGTCAACACAGAAATGACTCAGACATAACATCATTCCTTTTGTAAGCTACTAGGGCCTGTAGATCTGTTTGTAATCTACATCTGATGGTTTAAACTGTACAAATAATCTGAAAAAAAAAATCTGGTGTACAAAGCCACTGATATCTCTTGACTTTCTGCAAACAGGGGCCTTATGTAGCTGCTCCTATGCGGTCTACTTTGCTGCTAGTCACACTCTACAAAAAATTATGGGGGGTGGTTGTTTTATCTTATAAGCAATTGACAAA